TGTCACTCTTGTAACTGCGCATGCATACTCCCCATACTCGCATACATTTGATGTTTTTAGTCGCTGTATCTGCTCAAATAACATCCATCATGATATAATAAATCATTATATACTAAAATTCGCAAATTTGCAGACCTTTCAATGAAACATTACCAGTTTTTTTTTGTGACAGAATATGTTATTGCAATATGCAAATTAGGCTACTCACCCTAGTCTAATATTTGTTAAGAAACTTTAAAGACTCTAAGTTATAAATTAATTAATGCAATAATTGACTAATTATTATGCATGGAATTGCACCAAAATCTAATCAGCGCATCTACTCCTCATATATTAGCTGTGTGCCAAATTTCATTTGAATTGAAATTGTAGATCTTGAGTTAACAGTGGAACAAATTTTAGTCACAGAGTCACAGAGTCACAGACACCGGTACCACATAAGCTCCGTTTCACGGGAGCTAAAAACTAAAAGGCTGAAATGTTGAAAATACGCGGGAAACATACCAAAAAAAAAAAAACATGCTTTATATAAAAGGGATTCCCATGGGATTTGGGAGATACATTACCAAAGATATTATTACAAGATAAAAGAGTTGCTTCCTTGAACACAAACAACAATGCATATTCCCACTGAGATCTGTGATTTTTGAATGTGTATCATCAGTGATCAGTCAAGTGGAAACAGCCAAAATATTTTATCAGATTTTCTTAATTTTTGCATGATATTTTATTACAGGACATCTGCCGTTCAATAGAATTAATAAAGTTATTGTGCACACAATAACAATTACTAATGACAACGACAACGACAACGCCAAACAGAAATTTCCCTTAATATACCTTTCCCTTCCATTTTTGATAGTACGGGCAAGGTAAAATGGATCTATTGAGTGACCTGCAAGCCCTGTAGTGTTTCAGTGAGACCAGCAATGATCAAAATTTCACACTTTACTTGGTTACTCATGTTATAAAGCAAATAATTTTACATGTACGCTTTCTGGTGTATTTACAATTCTAAACCCCAATTATACTGGGTATGAACATCACTCTGTTTACTGCTTCGTGATATGAGGCTTTGAATTGTAAACCCACTCCAAAGTTTACACTACTAAAAAAATCTCAAACTAAGAACAGTGAAAATTATATCTATTTCCAAATTCATTAGTTTCTGAGCATATGTTGTAATTATACGGCCCACCAACCTCCTAGGGTACAATCAAGTAAAATAAAAATGTACAACAGCTTACTTGTATCAACGTCTAAGTTCTTCATAATCCACAGAACTAAATCTGCACCTAGTAATAAAACAGAAATATACGTCCATTACTGTGAAATACTTTATTTTAGCTGGAATGAATTTTCGCTGATAAGATTTTTGTGTGTTTTGTATGGAATTTATTTTCACTGATTTTTGGCGAGTTGAATGTGAAATATACCGCAGTGAAAAAAGGTATATTCGCTGGATTTTATTTTCACTGAATCATTACTTCAGCGAAAATAGCAACAAAATTAATTACAAGCGAAAATAAAGTACAGTGTATTTTACAGAGAACATTTATGTTATCAAAATCACCAGAACTGCTTTACAATCAGGATTCGAACACCTGTTTCATCATTTCTACCGCAGAGTAAACAGTGCCCTCTATCATCTATCGCGAGAGACATTTATAGTTGGGAGGAAGCAGTGTTCAGAACTGCTAAAAACATATCTATATTTATAGATGAGGAAAGATAGAGCTTTGCATCTCTAGTAGAAAGACAAATATAACTTCATAGGATGCAGAACTGTAAAAATGTCAAAAAAAGAAAATAATGTGCATCAACGTCCTACTATGTTCAAAGTATGAACCAAGTGTGAACGAAATCCATACATACACCCCCGATGATTTCGGAATAGAAGGCCATTCGGCCATCTTGAATCACATGTGAATATTTTAATAACAATAATTTATTACCGCACATTGAACTGATCAAGATTATTGTATTCTAAGATGTGTCTGTGAAGTTTGCACATAATCGGCATAGGCATATCTAAATACAATGTAAAGGCGTGAAAAGAGATCAACCAACCCACAAGTTCCCATTACAGTTCTGCATATTAATGAGGTCACATGACCAATTCCAAACGTTTTACCCATTCAGTTGGGCCCTCTACTTTTTCCCATGATGTACCATAAAATCCCAAACATGAGCAAAATAAGCAAAAAATATTGAGAAACAAAGCAATGTTCCATGGTAATTCACAATGTGTGTGACACTCATACTGGCTGAGATCTGTTGGTGCGCTGCTAAGAAATGGTACAACCACACGTGTACAGACATGGGTTATTCTACAAGTCTTTGTTTCATGCTATGCATTAATAGCACGCTAATCATTGAGAAACAGGAGTCATTTTTAATGACAATTTACAAAGTGTGTGTCTTTTTTATTTTGTTCCACATCAATAGGTAGAGCTAAACACTGATGTTTATTATCATAACTAGCAGATATGAATTATCCTTTTGTAATCTTTTTATTTCTCATTAATTAAACAGCAATAACCACAATGTAAAAAATTCAAAATGTTGAGTGGCCTTGCTTCGATTCAGTCTTCGGCATGCAGACAATTTAAAAACCCCTTTGCATCACAATTTATTCCATTTTAGATGTGGCCATTTTTTCTGCCATTGCCAAGACTTTCTGTTCTGTACATGTACATGTATGTACGTATCCTGTTTATTATCTCCCATGTCCCTATAAACCAATAAGATTCAAGCATCCAGTGGTCAATTTATCAGCTTCTGCACTTCCAAAAATGTTATGGTTGATCTGACCCCGTTGAGGTTAATGGCAGGGTTTTCTTAATGGATCACCTGTAACTGGTCGAACAAATATAACATAACATAACAAGGTTTCAAGCATTAATTGGGCATATTCTACAAAAATGTGAGGTAGTCATTGAGCATCACACAACAATATTGGTG